GAAGGAACTTATTTATGTAACAGACTCACAGACATAAATGAGTTGATATGAGTAAAGCATGCAATGTAGGGCCTGCCTGACCCACGATGCCAGTTACATAAGTCCTAGCTGATGTCAGCTCCTACGTGCCCATATGGGAAGGCAGCCACAGGAGTGCAAAACTGGTAAATCAACATTTCTGCAAAAAAGAAAAGGAGGAGACTCATACATATACGTATGCGTATGTTCCCAAAGGACATTTCTGGAAGGACATCCCCCAGGAAAACAGGGATCAGAGGGGAGGCTTACTGTTTACCATTTGTACAGGTTGAATTCTGTTTACCAAATTTATTCACATATTATAAAATACATATATTCTGAAGTTTGCGGAGATAGTATGTATAGGAGATAATATGTATAGGATGTATTGCAGCACTCTTTGTAATAGGAAAGAACCCAAGTGCCCCCCAAGAGGGGGACTGGATAATAGATCCACGTACATCATGTGATAAAATACAACTATATATGTGCTGATGTGGGATGATCCCAAAGATATTTCCAAACCAGCAAAACAACTCTTTTAAATGAAGTGTTCAACTTTATTAAAAAATTGAAACCATATATTTGCTACATGTGCTTATTCTAGAAAACATAGAAATGACAGAGAAGTAGTAAAGGAACGGTCCTATTCAAAGACACACACTGTTGGCATGTTGATGTACTTCCTTCTAGGCTTGTCTTGTGCATGTGTGCATGCATGTGCATGCGTGCATGTGTGTGTACAGAGCTATAATCACACTCTATATTCCGCTCTTAAAATTTATCCAGAGTGGAAGCACTTTCCCACATTATGATAAACTCTATAAACATCCTTTGTTTGGCTGCCTGATACTCTATCCAGGGGGAGGCCCCCTGAACGATTTTGTCATCATCCCCCAGGGAACTCAGAAAAAACGCCCTGACCGTGACAGTGACAAACTCAACAGTGTACAATACACAGCCAGTACCTGCCAGGACTGCACTGCCTTGGAGGAAGGCCAGGTGGTCATCTAGGTTAAACAACCCAGGTTGCCGGGTCGACAGTAAATG